TCGTAAAAGGTATATTTTCAGTTTTCCGACCATATCTCAGTCAGTTTGTAAGAGACTTACTTCAAATTTCGTACACACTCTCCTTGGGGACTACTGTCAATGAAAATACTATCAGTTAGCCAACAGCATATGGGAAGTTTGGCTTCAGGCCTTGCAAAAAGAAAAAAGCGGTCAAAATCAGACATAAAACCGAGCTAGCCATAGACAGTTGAAAAAGTCAGGGTGAATGGATTCTCCACACATCATATACGCATGACACTAGAAACTGAACCTAACAATGACAAGATTACATACATGGAAGTCCACGTTCAGCAACGAGAAGATGCATATGCAACCGCGCATAATGGATGCTCCAAGTTCAAGAAGCAAAATATTTCCTGTGAATGATCCTGAACTTGAAGTGCTCAATTTAGGTTCAAGTTGTACAGTGGAACATACTGTTGTGAAACGACAAGTTGTTGAGAGTGAAAGGCCTTCTCGCTTGTGACATTGTGTTCGTTTCAATGCAGCTGTATCCCGACTCCGCCGTACCACTGATGTTTACGACGTGGCATACGCTACAGGCGCTATGTGCGGTTTGCTGTGTGCGCTGTAGTTGTATGTTGTATGTGTATGCTTTTCTCATACGCTGTCATTTTCACGCTATAACTACCTGGTGGTTTTAGTGTTAGTCATTCAGTTACATTCGTTGTTCATTCATTGTTCATTGTTGTAAGTCGATGGAAGTGAAATATACTGTTGAGAATAAATAGTTGTCCTCGTGCCGTGTGGGGTCGTTCGTTCCTGATACTTTAGAGAACCGGAGGGTTCACAACATTTGGCGACCACGCCAGGATACGAAGCGAGCATGGCACAGGAACTATGGATTATTGAAGCCAGCTTTATCGCTAGCGGAATTCGGTATGGATTTGAAGGCGATAGGTTGAGAGAATACGTGGAGAAGAGGCTCAGACAGAGCGAGGAGTTTGAAGAGCGCAGTGCTAGACGGCAAGAGGGTGCGCTCCGCACAGAGTTTAACGAAAAGCTCAAGAAGATGGACGAGCGCATCGCCGTCAGTACATATTATGAGGAAGCAAAGCGAGATTTGCTTGCCTCGCCCGGAAGTACGCCGGACAAGGCGTGTAAGACTTTACTTACAGACAAGCAGCGGTCAGAGGAGTATTCGAAGCCAGTTGGAGGATCAGTTCCAAGGCCCACTGCGTCGGTACAGAGCATGGCGACATCGGTCGGAGACGCTCAGAAGCAGCTGGAGTCTCGGCCGAACGACGTAGAGGCGAACGACGTAGAGGCGCAAGACGTAGAGGCGCAAGACGTAGAGGTGCAAGACGTAGAGGCGCAAGAGTTAGAAGCGCAAGAGTTAGAAGCCCAAGAGTTAGAAGCGCAAGAGTTAGAAGCGCAAGAGTTAGAGGCGCAAGAGTTAGAGGCGCAAGACTTAGAAACGCAAGGCGTAGAAGCCGAGAAAATGAGAAAGGCGATACTACTGGTTAGCACGGAAGAAGTAAGCGGCGAAACTGTGTGGAACACAGAGATCCGATGTGTGTCCTCGGATTCCGCGCCCGCCCCGGATCGAAGCAGTGTACCGGTGACCATGTCGTGTGTGACAGCCCACATCGCCCAGCTTTATGACATTATCGGTTGTGTGTTGTCTGGTCCAGCGTCTGCCCCATGTCGAAGTGGATCGGTGACAGTGTCGTGTGCGACAGTCCACAGCGGCAAGCTTCGCGATGTCGAGTTTTCTGAATTGGTGGGCATTAGTGATATTCTACCATGGCCACCACCGCAGCAGCAGATGACGCGTAGTAAGCCCCAAATCGTTTGACTTGTGAGTTGTTGTACGGCGGTGAGAAGCCCTTTGGTGGGGAGAATGTTGTGAAACGACAAGTTCTTGAGAGTGAAAGGCCTTCTCGCTTGTGACATTGTGTTCGTTTCAATGCAGCTGTATCCCGACTCCGCCGTACCACTGATGTTTACGACGTGGCATACGCTACAGGCGCTATGTGCGGTTTGCTGTGTGCGTTGTAATTGTATGTTGTATGTGTATGCTTTTCTCATATACGCTGTCATTTTCACGCTATAACTACCTGGTGGTTTTAGTGTTAGTCATTCAGTTACATTCGTTGTTCATTCATTGTTCATTGTTGTTAGTCGATGGAAGTGAAATATACTGTTGAGAATAAATAGTTGTCCTCGTGCCGTGTGGGGTCGTTCGTTCCTGATACTTTAGAGAACCGGAGGGTTCACAACACATACTGAAAAGAAAATTATTATAAACATTATGCAACCATCTGAAGCACATCCTAGGCAGCATCATGCACCCCATTTTGCCAGTACCCTAAAAAACACTGAAAAATTAAAAAAATTCACGGTTCGCGTGAGACTCGGCTGGAAACCGGGTTTTCCGCATCCGTAGGAACGCCACCACCCTTCAAGTATCAAGGCGCAGATGCAGCTCCTAAAGCGGGACACTGAAAATTGGCACTCAAATAATACCTCCTAAAGCACCACGATAATAATGTGATGCCTTCTTTGTCAACAGCTGTGTCCAGTACACCTTTCCTGGTGGCTCTGCGGTGCTTTCATGACTTCTTCTCAGTCTCTGAGGCCAGCTCTATCCCAGCATCGATCTGTGCTGCTGGAGCTCTGCAGCGCTGACAGACTCAGTGTACGTACAGCGCAAATTTTAAATAATTCTTGACATGCCATAATTTTAGGTCACGCATGAAAAAGCGCATTTACATGCGCTTATATCTTAGGAACAAGACTAGCTATGAAGCTCAAAGTTCACAGGATGAAACTTCAATCCATTACCTCTCTTTTGACACCACTCCCGAATTCTAACTCCAAAATTCTTATTTTTCGAAATTTACGACCAGTCTGCCACAAGCAAAAGCGGTCGTGAAAGCCAGATGGTCTTCAGAACCAGGTCCCACAGTGTCTGTGTAGAACTGTCCCTCCATGGAAAACCGGTCGTTAAGAGGAGGTGGTCGCTAAAACGAGAGGTCAACATACACCAGGTTTTACTGTACTTATAAAATCATCATGTATTGATTGATTGATTGATTGATTTTTATTTCACCGATCCTCCAGAGGCAAATAGATGCCTATTGAAGGGAGTCTCCTAAGTAAGAATGGAAAACGAGAAAGTATGTATTGACGGGTTGTCGGCAAAACTCTGCGTACATGTTGCGCATAATACGAAGTCTTGACCTTTGGATTTTGCCAGCCTCCATGTCTGTAAAGGCTATAATCTTATCGCCAACTCCTATTTCAAATATCGGTACCTGTGTATGTACTTGATCTAGTGGATATTACTCTAAAACTGTGAAATAATTTACGAGGCATAGTTGATGTTCGGTCGTGATGGAAGGAGAGGTGGAGTTGCAGTGCTGCAGATATGACCTGATTATCAGAAGGGTGAGGTTGACATGTTGGACGAGTATGACGACTACGTCGACAGTTGAACATGATATATCAAAGATAACTAATTTGCCAATGTAAAATTCACCACTTGCAAGTTCGATAAACGCACCATTTCCCGAACTCTGAGGCTCCAAGTGTGCAACAAAGTGTATAAGTATCCCCGATGCCAAAGCGTAATATGAAGATTCTGCGAGCATAACGCGAGAATCCATTAAAGCCCATTTCCATGATTTCGCGAGCACAATCCGTCGGAGCCTAGTTATGCCTAACAGTCCACAGTGTGTGTGTGTGGGGGTGGGGGGGGGGGGGGGGTGGGGGGGGGGTGTGTGGGATTTAGAGAATGAATGTGTGTGTGCGTGTGTGTGTGTGAGAAATGTAGAGAATAAATGTGTGTGTGTGTGAGAGAGATTTAGAGAATGAATGTGTGCGTGTGAGAGAGAGAGATTTAGAGAATGAATTGTGTGTGAGAGAGAGAGATTTAGAGAATGTGTGGGTGTGCGTGTGTACGCGCGTGTGAGTGTATGTGTATGTGAGAAATTTGGCTGTCCGATTTGGGGAAAGCCTGATGACGATACAGACAAGACCACTGGCTTTGCTCTCTTGAATTCCTTTTCTCTTTTTGTTTTGTACATTTCCGTTGTTGTTCTCTTCAACATTATTCACAAACACCCGGATTACTTAGTCACGCTCTATATAGCTATATCACGCAGTGCCCAACGTGAGAGCTTGTAAGATCATGATCAGGGCCCTACGTTATGCCTCTTTTTACTAGCTCATCATTTGTTTTTTATTTATTACAACATCTCAAGACTCGGTGGAAACACCGGCCAATGTTAAGAGAGTGGTTGATTGCCAACCACGGCGATAAATAAAAATAAGGGGAAGGAAAAAGAAAGAGTAGCAAAATGAACAGCAATAACAACTCCGTAAAGAAACATAATGTCAAATAAAAACATTGAAAAACACAGAGACGCAAAGGACATGTGGATAATCAGCTATTTATGTCGTAGTAAATAAGGGGCGGTACGGATCTTAAACAGGCGGAGTGAGGTCAGGTCCTTAACTTCTCTGGGTAGAGTGAGCCAAACAGAAAAAGCAATAAAGAGAGGGGAGCGCAACAGAGTGGATGAGTTACACTTAGGGAATAAGAGCGAGTTTCTAGTTCTTAGAGAAGAGAACCAATAAAACACATAAGATGAGGTGGGCACAACTCAAGCTTAATTTAATAGAATGGACAAGAGAAGCCAGGTGTGCACTGCGTCCATGTGATAACGGGGTTGTGTGAGCGATTTTAAAAAGAGCGGATGATGAGAGCATGCGGGGTTGACGGAGGAGAATTTTAAGGATTTTCTTGTGGTGTATTTCAAGCTTTGCAGCAGCGGAAGAGGATAATCCAACCCAAGACGTATCGGCATAATCAAATATTGGGCGAAGGTATGCTAAATAAAAAAGAAGCTTGCAAGAAAGTGGGAGGTAGGAGCAGTGGGGGGAGAGAATTCCTAAGGATTTACTTGATTTTTTCCAGATATTATTCGATGTGGTGTACCCAAGAGTGTGCAGAGTCAATCACAACGCCGAAGTTAGTGAGAAGACACTATGTCAATTGGATTTGGAAAGTTGGCATTGATGAGGGTTATCTCATTCTCGAGTTCTCGTATCAGCAGTGCCTCCTTGTTACATAAGAAGGATGCCCTCCTCAAGTCAGCGCTGAACCCAAAGAAGTGCAGCGTGACATAAGAAGGATGCCCTCGTGAAGTCAGCGCTGAATCCAAAGAAGTGCAGCGTGACATAAGAAGGATGCTCTCGTGAAGTCTGCGCTGAATCCCAAGAAGTGCAGCGTGACTTAAGGGACCATCGCAAATGTTCGCAGAAGCCCCCGAAACGAAGACCGTTTGTTTCGGGCCTGACCCCCCTCCCTCCCCCCACAAACGAAACGACAGTCACAATATGGGCTTCTTTATTTCACTTGGATGCTCACATAATAATTATTACTCTAGCAAGGACTACAACGACTGAACAAAATCACTCCAGTTGGACAAACATTCCGGCCGACCCGAGTTGTTGCAGGATCAGTGGACGATAGGCACCGGCGGATTATGCCGGCATAATTATTGGCATAATTTGGCGGTTGAAAATTTGGAGCATAATTTGGCATCCTCTCGGAGGTAGGAGCATAACTACATGATTGTACCACAGTTCTAGTATGCTGCCAGGCTACACAATAGTGTACAATGCACCTGATCAGTCCTGGTGGTCTGCATGGTAAAGGGCTTGAAGTTGGAGGACATGCACTGCAGATACTGAGATAGTGTTTTCAATGAAAAGCAGGGTAGAAATCATGGCAATACATTATTGTATGGTCGAACTCGTCTTCTTTAAAGTTAGTTCTTTCTCACACTGATGCAGTACATGTAGCAGAAGATGCGAGTGAATCAGCCTTTATCAGGTATCCTGGGGCGGCGGACGAGATAGTGACGGGTAGTCCGCAAACTGACTCTGCGTACATGTTCATTATTCATGATACGAAGTCATGACCTCTGGATTTTAGCTGCCATGTCTGTGCAGGCTTCGGACATTGCTACGGTATAATAATTAACAAAATTGAGGCCGTGTAGTTGGTGTTCGGTCATGATGGAAGGAGAGGTGGAGCTACGGAAGAGATGAGCTGATTATTCGCAGGGTGAGGGTGACATATCGGTTGGACGAGTATGACGATTACGAAGATAGTTGAACATGATCATTTTCAAAGGTAACTCAAACTGATTTGGCAATGAAAAAATATTTTACTGAAGTAATGTTTACCCTTTTCCATGATAATCACTAGCATGCATGGACACCTTGGTATAGGGATACTCGTGTAACATATTGTTGTACTTATGGCCACTTGCAAGTACAAAAAGGCACACGATTTTCCGAACTTTGGGGCTCCATAAGTACAACAAAGTGAACATGTATCCGCGCGTGCCAAAGCATAATATGAGGATTTTGCGAGCATAATGCGAGAATCCATGAAAGAATAAATTCCATGATTTCGCGAGCATAATCCGCCGGAGCCTAGTGGACGAGTAACTCTACACTACCACCGGTACTAGTACCAGCAGGGCTAGGGGTTCATAAACCACGCGTTTTATGGACTCTTGGTACAGTGGTCCCTCTATAATCCGGCACTATTTGTGCCACGAAAATCTGCTGGATTAGGGAGGGTGCTGGATTAACAAATCTGATCTACTGCTGCAATGTGCATGAAGAGGACATTTGGCTACTGAAAATTGTGCCGGTTTATCGAGGGTGCTGGATTATAAAGTGCCGGATTAGAGAGGGACGACTGTACTAGACTACACACAGTGTACAGGCAGCCAGCTACGCGACACGCGCAGTTGCATGAATGGACTACGCGTCCTGACAAGCGATCTACGCTGGCTGTGATGGCATGCTAATCTATATCAGCTCCTACATGTCGTCAATACGTTTTTGAATTGAAGCCCGGTTTGCGATTTTCGACACCGACTCCCTCCCCACCCCCCCCCCCCCCCCCCAATCGTATGCTCTTCGTTTCAGGGGCTTCTGCGAACTTTTGCGATGGTCCCTAAGAAGGATGCCCTCGTGAAGTCTGCGCTGAATCCAAAGAAGTGCAGCGTGGCACAAGAAGGATGCCCTCGTGATGTCAGCGCTGAATCCAAAGAGGAGCAGTCAGACACTGTCTTTCTAAATAACATGTTAAATCGCACATGGTCTTGGTTTAATTTTTGGCCCTTTTTCGTGCTTTGGAGTTACTTATTGTTTTTGGAGAGTTCCATTCTCTCCACCGAATTGGTATTGCAAAAAAACAAGGGACAGTAAAACGAAGAAAAAAAGATCTTCACAAGTATCCCTAAAAAATGAAGAAGTAAGACACAAGAACGAGTGAGGCGCTGAGAACAGCGGAGGCGAGGTCCCAACAACACCACATTATGAGTTGCATTAGAAACTTAGATGATGGCAGTGGCTATTGATTTTAATTAAAAGATTTGCAGAGTTATCGTTTGCGATAGCATGATATTGTTTATACCTGGAAACTGGGGGAAACACTCCATGTACTTGCAACGAACATGTCCACGTGCTGACCTACATAATAAAATCTTTCATAATTGTACCTCCCGCTATTACACAAGAAAGTCGAGGCAGAAAGTCGACGCAGAAAGTCGAGGCAGCCATTTAGATGATTGCCTATATTTCAGAATCAAAGTTCCATGATTTGTGATAGTTGTGATAAATAAATGTTTCTTTTTTTTACTTGCACTGTATTTTCGTTTGTACTGAAGCTCTGCATGTCGTGACCAGTTATCAATGTACGTTCTTACGTGTACAAACTATACATACATGACATTGTAGGAAACACGACAGGTCACCGCGAGACAGCTCACAGCGCGACAACTCACAGCCGACAGCTCACAGTGTCGTCAACACACAGCCAAGACAACTCACAGTGTCGTCAACTCACAGCGAGCCAAGTCACAGCCAAGACAACTCACAGCCACACCAAGTCACAGCGCGACAATTCACAGCCACACCGCACTGTCTTCTTCTTGTTCAGGCTTTGTCTTATGGACTTCTATTTTCTGGTGTCAACTGGGAAGTTCATTTTCATTAATCATATTCTTCGCCCTTTGCCTGTATTTACATCGTTATTCCCAGCCCCGCAATCTACCTGGAGCACGCGTTATCGCGACACACATGATATCCCGTATTTAAAATGCAGAACAACACTCGGTCAAAAATCCTTTGTGCTTCGTGCTGCTCTGTTTTTTAATGCTCTACCTAATGACTTGAAATCCTCTTTGTTTACCTCTCAGTTCGATCGTGGTTTTAAGCGCTTATTGGATGATCCAGTTTGGTTTGAACGATATCGTGCAATTTTGTTTGACAACGTTGGCAACGTTTAGTCTCTCACCAGCTACATGTATAATATTGCCCAGGTTCATTCAGCATACGTTTTTCTTCTTTTCTATTTATGTTCACCACTCATTCCCCCTTTTTTCTAAACATTTGAACATTTACACTGATGTACATGTATATACATTGTTTGTTCTTTTTTTTTCTATTTTATTTTATTTTATTCTTTTGGTCCCATCGGCCTCTTCATACTTGTGCAGCTGCACTGTTGAGCTTCCGATGTAAAACAAATAATAATAATAATAATTTCTCGATTAAAGTTCTCTGTTATTTTCGACTTTGCATTACATGTAAATAGAGAAGTGCCGGGAACGTCGCGTTATTATTATCAAATACATTTTAGGTTTTTCCTAGGACCAACCCCCACAGACTCCAGGTCTTCATTGCACTATTATTAATATATTGACCTTTGATAAATTCCCACACTCATTATATTAGTGACCACATCATCAACAGTATCAAATTCAAATAAAATTTGCTTTGACTCAATAAATACCACTGCACTTTTCCATGTAGCACTGCACTTTTCCCCAAAAAGGAGTATTTCATAAACATTATTTTTTGGCCGTTGTGGTATTTTATAAACAGTATTTATTGGCTTTCGAGCCAATAAATACTGTTTATAAAATACCACTACGGCCTATAAATACTGTTTATAAAATACTCCTTTTTAGTGAAAGTGAAGGTCAACTATGTATGTATGTATGTATGTATAAAATACCACTACGGCCAATAAATACTGTTTATAAAAATAATACTCCTTTTTAGTGAAAGTGAAGGTCAACTATGTACATGCATAATAAATGTAGTAGCCTCAGGATTTATTGCAATTACATATCAGTTATAAAAATGTCGGGGGACCTCGGTTTTTATACTGGTATGTAATTGCAATAAATCCTTAGCCTCTACATGTATTACACATAAGGATTGATTGATTGATTTTATTTTACTTCGCAAGTTCAAACGGGTTCCTGGCCCAGTTATATGAAAGCGAAGGATAGAATTTGCCAAAATCCTAATGAGCAACAGCATAGGCAATATTATCATAGAAGTGGAGTACTATGCGAGCGAGAATACTGAGAAGAAAGGAACATGTCAAAACCTGACGAAACACAACCTATTTCAGGCATACATAAGGAAGGCAGGCTAGCTTAAAATCTTGCAATCTGGATACGGTGCGCACCTCTCTAGGCAAACTGTTCCACAGCAATGCTCCTGCGGTGGCGAATCTCGTTTGGCCACACCGACTGCGAGCTGGCTGGCTGAGCAGACCATTGGCATGCTGATGGCGCGTACTTCTGCCGCTGCATGCTGCTGGTTTGAGAAGCTGGGCTAGAGCAAGGCTAGTGGAGTCATTTAGACAACGCCAGATGAAGATCAGGAGCTTTTGTTTGAAAAGTTCAGTGACGCGGTAAATCGAGTTGGCAGCCAGGAGGGGCTGCATCGCGGAACATGGCGGGCTGCCATCAATGCATCGGATCGCCCGGTTTTGCATGGCTTGCAGACGCTGAAGTTGGGTCACGCGGAGGGCTGCAGAGAAGCTGCAGGCACCATATATCATATCCGGCATGACAATAGCCTTTACATATACCTTGCGCGAGCTGCGGGAGAGGCATCGACGGGCTCGCC